ATGTTCGCTTCCTCCCATACAGAGAAAAACGCTAAATTCCTTATCTTGAGAAGCCTGGTTTTCTTCAGTTAACAAGCAATCTTTTAATGTTTCAACTCCCTGGCCCTTGCTGTAAAGCTCCTCTGTATCCTAGCTCCTCCCCTGCCTCTTTGGAGCCGTCCCTCAGAGCCATCTGAGGGGCTGTCATCCTGGGCTGGGTCCTCAGAACTGTCCACTGAATAAAACATAACTCTCAACTTCCAGGCTGTGCACTTATCTCAGTAGACACTGGTCCGTGTGCTTCTCCTCTCCCACCCCATCCCCGGCTCTCCTCACCCTGCTCCTCTTCCTCCCTGCTCCGCAGCCAGTCCGTGGAGCTTCAGTCTTAGAGGTGAAGGAAGTCACTCGCCGCTACATGCCACCTGATGGCAAACGGGTGCGTTATCCTCCAAAAGGCTGACCAGCACCTCTGCGGGAGGGCGCCTTCCACCTGCGGTTTATGCTTGCGATGGGGGCACCTTCCATAGGGCAGGACATAACAATGGCCCCAGGAGTCAACTTGATTTCAACGTGGGACCCAAAAGCCTTCAAGGCAACAAGACTTTTCGGGGAAATGCTGGTTCCGGCAGGAGCCCAGATCCCTAGACTGGATGTTGAAGCCCATGAATAATGTGTCCCTGTTACTGAGATTCAGAACCAGAACCTTCTGACACAGGGACTGCAAGTCTCCCCAGTTCTCCCTCCCCAACCTCAGCATCCACCAGCCCCACACGACCACGCCTGTGGCAGATGGATGACCCTGACTCCACACCTTGCTCCTGGGGCTCCTCCCAACTGGATGCCTTTTCTCTAAATGGGAATTCTGTTTGACCACTGGGGCTCAGCTGGGAAGCCTTTCTCATCCATCCCAGCTCAGGGACACCTCCCCGCCCTCTCCAAATGCCTTGAGAAGTCTGCACTTTACGTCAGATTCCATCAGACCCCTACAGAGAAATGCACTTCTCATCCTCAGCCGGCTCTGCGAGACGTGGGGTCTAGTCCTCAGACTTGTTTCCTCCTGCTCTTCCCTCACCCCTTCCCTTCCAGCCCACTGCCTGCTCTGAACGCACCAAGCTCATGTCCGTCTCAAGGCTCTGCTGGAGGACCCTCTCCCAGACACCCAGGGTTGCAAGAACATCCAACTACGAGGGCAACAAGCTTTGCTTCTGGTGTTTCCCCACTGGACTCTGAGTGCTGGCCACGTGGCGGGTGGTAGGTGACTAAACGCTAGAAAAAAAGCATAAATAACACAGGCCTGGCACCTCCCAGGGTACCTGCCCCCAGACCCCTATCATAAGCATCCTGAAGACAGAGACCCAGGCTCAGAGGTGTGCATCCTGCCCAGAGTGCAGCCCAGGCCTTGAGTGGAGGAGCTTCCCTAAATGTCTGTTAGTACAGGAGAGAGTCCTTTTGTGCCTCTCCCACCAGGCGGGCTTGGCAGCCTCCGTGGCAGAAAGAGTAACCCTGGTCTGCCGGCCCATCTTCTGGCGGCAGAGCTGTCCTCCACTCGGCCCTCTTTCCCACCACCACCAGCACCCTCTTCTGAGCTGGGTGGACTCAGAGAGGGTATCTGACCTCCTAGGAAACAGGGCTCTGCTGAGCTAACTGCTTGATTTCAAGGTGACATCTTCCAGAAAGATTTACTGAGACCCCATGACTGTGGCTGCCGTATGTCAAAGCCCAGGCAGATGGTTAGGAGAGAGTTAAATATTCCACACTTACCTCATCCTCTCTCTCTCCCTCTCTCAAGGGTGAACACTCAGTTCCTCTCCCCAAGCCCAGTCCTTCTCCATATTTGGGAATCTGGAACGGGCACAGGGGCACAGCCTGTCCCCGTCTGGTGTCTGCTGGGAGCTGTAGTTCCCGATGAGTGCCGGCCTCTCTGCTCTGGTCAGCAAGTGGGCTGTCCGTCCTCAGGAGGACGCCTGGAAGCGGTGGATGGAAGGGTGCAGCTAGGAGGCTCTACTTTCAGCTCTCTGGAAGCTGGCTCTGAGCACGCACCCTCTTCCACGGCTCCGTCTCCCCACCTGCAAACAGGGATAATTAGCTCTCTTTTCCCACCTGCCAGATTATTTGTTGGGCAGGGTAATTAAGCCAGCACCCACTAAATGCTCTGAGCTCATTCCAGCAAGGAGTGCTTTATAAATAAAAATTCTTATCTTTAAAGAGAAAATAGTCATTTTGATTGCCTAACTGCCTCCATGTCAAAAAGACGCTGTTTAATCCTTGTGTATGCCCTCCACCCACCCTGGGTTTAAATGGTTTCCTGGCATCTCATTCCATTTTGTTTCATCACCTCTAGTTTCACACCCTCAAGAACAAACGCTCTCTCTCCTGTCTCTCTGAAAGGAAAGCATGAGATAGATCAACTCTGCGCTTTGCCAGGAGCACAAGAAAGTCACGAAGAGACCAGGGCCTGCCTGGAGTGCCACTGCCCCTGCGTGGGTGACAACGAGCTGTCAGTGTGCAGGAGGCAGACCTCTGCTCCCTCTGAAGAAGGGACAGAGGTTTCAATGCAGGATTTTTGAAAGATCTTAATGAGAACTCCTGGGGGAGGGTCTAGCTCAGTGGTAGAGCATGTGCTTAGCAGGCATGAGGTCTTGGGTTCAATCCCTGGTACCTCCATTAAAAAGCAAAAGAAACAACTCCCTACTCTGGAGATTTGAGAGGACAGTCGGCTGCTCAGCTCCTCTAGAGGAGAGTGGTATGGTGTAGTGGGAGCAGCGCATCATGAACACCTGCGTGTTTTTTAAGCCGTAAAGTACTACACTTCACAACCGGGTGATGAGGAGTGGTTAGAACTGAGCACACAGAGAAGGGAGATGGACCCCTGCGGTTTCCTCCCGGCCTCAGGGTTACCTGGGGTCAAGCAGGTACCACTGCTTCTTACCACAGAGAACTGTGAGCATGGAAACTGTCACCTGTAACGGCAGGACTGTCATCTCTCCTTTTAGAGTGAGCAGTACCAACACCCACTTGAAGAGTAAGAAGGACCCTGCGCCACACTGTGAGTCAGGCCGCAGGGCAGCATAATTACGTCCGATGTACACGCGGCCGTGTGTGTTTGTGGACAGAAAGCTGAAGCTGTCACTCGTGGACAATGCGATCTCAGACGACTCTTATCCGCCTGTACTTTTTGGTCTCATCTGGATTACTTTCACTCTGGGTGTGTACCGTTCTATCAAGATCAGTTAAAGGACCAAAGAAGCGCGGCACGAAACAATCAGACCAGCAGCTGTAAAACACAGGGGAGATCTTTCACCTCAGAGATTCTTTTCTCAGGTATGGACAGTTTATGGAAATCTTACCGACAGAGGCCTGTGGAGACAAGTCAGAGGGGATGGCGCCCCTCCAGTAAGGAGGGGAGAGACGCCTTCATCTCTGCTCATTTCCTGGGCTGCAACAATATGGTGGCTCCAACATCGCTGGTCTCAGAGTTTCCTTGTTTGCTGTGGTCACATGTGATTCCTGTTTTTCCACCTCTGTTCTCCCTAGTCCCTCGGACGTCGGCTGTCGGAGAGGGGAACGTGAACTCACTTCTAGTTCATTCAGCCCACGTAATGCCTTTTGTCCCGAGGGATTAGGGGCTGGGTGTGGTGGGTCTACCTGCAATTTACTCTCACTGTCCCACTACATTTCAGAACCAGAGGCACAAAGAACAAACGCGTTTCCCAGCAGGACACAAAGCAGGAGGGGTGGTGACCGCGCACCTCCCCATTCAGGGACGCTTATTCCCAGAGAACACCCACAGGCAGGGCCGTGCAGGCTCCGAGGCAGCCGTTCCCAGTGAGGACCGGAGACCAGGGCCTGGTGGAAGGAGGGGCAGGCTCCCTTCTGTTGCCAGAGACACAGAGGCCGTCCCCAGAAAGACTTGATCACTGTGGAGCCAGAAGGGGGGCTGCCCCGTGGCCCTTGCAGGTGGTGGAACTTCTCGACACAGACTCACACGAGGACACTCCTGGAGCTCAGCGGGGTCACCTCAGGGAGGGGCACTCTCTCCCGCGCAGACTGGTTTACAGAGGAAGAGGCCTTCACAGAACCAATATACTGGAACCTGGCCGAGTAGTCCTTAACAATTTATTATTATTCCTTTTTATAGTTGAGGTGCTGGGGGTTGAAGTCAGGACCTCGTGCATGCTAAGCACACACTCCACACTGAGCTATACCCTCACCCCTGACGATTTTTGAACTGAACTCAACTGTCACGAGTTAAAAAGTACGCTCAGACTCCTGTTTCCCTCACCTTCCTGGAGTTTCAGTGTCCTGCCATTCTCACTCGGTCCCAGAACCAGACGCTGGGTGGGGTCAAGTCATCAGTCAGGAAGAACTCACCAAGACGCCCCGGAGGTTGCGGTCTGAGAAGAATAATGGAGATAAATGCAAAGGCGAACTGCAACCCTGCTGTTTTTCATCATTATGTCATTTCTTCGAGGCCCAGGACCCATGGGACAGTGTTGGGCGCATGTTTGTTTCTCTCACTGGAGTCAGCTGAGCAAGAAAGCCAGCGTCAGGGCTGACCGAGGCTGCCAGGACTGGAGGGCTGAGACCCCTTCTCTTCTTTGAGGTTCCTACACCCCTCTCCTTTCTGCTGCCCAACCCAGGTGAGGTGTGAAACGAGGACTTCTGGAACTCCGCCCAACACTCCTCCCCACCCCCACTCAAATACCTTAATCAGGGCTTGCTGACCCAAAATTCCATCTCAGGAAATAACTTGGGACCGAAGAGCCCGTCAGTGCTTTCCAGCCTCTTAAATACAAAGGACCACTTTTAATCGACAGATCAATCCTGTTTCAGAATGTTTCTCTGTGAAATAAAATCTGGTACTCAGTAACAACTGTGGCACCATCTCAGGTAAATATACAACTCTCTGAAATACTCAAGCTGTGTGGCATGCCCCTCCATCCTACTTTCCCTCGAGGGCCTGCTGGGGGGACCAAAACTGCTCTCCGTGCTGGTGTGGCGGGTGCCCTGCACATCTGGAGCAGAAGCCAGGGTCTGGGCACCAGCAGTGACCTCAGATGCTGCGACTTACCCCAAGCACGGGAATCTCCGCGTTGGTGAGGAAGCATCTGAAGCCGAGGTGGGTCCTCGGTGGGGCAGGGATGCGCAATCTTCAGCTGTGACAGCAGCTGTGGCACTACCTCCCAGCCTCAGTTTCTAGACTGTGGAGTAAGGCTCCTTCCAGCTCTGAAATTCTATCACCCAGGGTGACTGAGTTTATTGGCTATTTCCTAGGAAACAGAAAGAGAGCCCTAGAAGGAATGCCACAAACTACTCACAGGAAGAGGGTGGCTGGGGTGTCAGTATCTGGAGACACCTCCACGGGTCTCATTTTTGGGGGGCTGTGTGGGGGCACGTGTCCCAGCTTCTGGCCTTGCACGTGGTGCTCACCATTCTGTACAGCCAGTTCTACGGATTCGTTCAGAAGAAAGGCTGGGGCCAAACTGCCTGTATTTCAGCCCCACCTACCCCTGCACTCCTTCTGTGACATCTCTGTTGCCTTGGCTTCTTCATCTACAAAATGGGGACAAGGCCAGGGCTCTTGTCACAGGCTGTTGATGATTAAAGCGAGTTGGATGTAAGGCACTCAGACCAGCACCTGGCACAGTTAACACCAGACCCTGTTACTGGGCCTGTCAAGTACCGGACAGATGACGGTGATGAAGATGTCTTCTCAGACACAGGAGCAAAGCAAGAGTTCTGCTGCATCTACACGGAGAGGAGAAAGCAGCAAGCACTGAGTTCTGCCCTGAACGCCAAGTCCAGGTTTTAAAAAGGAGCCATAAAAATGCCATCTAACTGACGAAGTTCTGGAGAAAGGGAGGCACGCCCTTGACCATCCTGGAAAAACACCATCCCTACCTGACAATACTTCTCTCTTTGGCTTGCTTTTGGCCAAAGGTTCACACCAGGCACCATAGACCCTACTGCGTGCACAGCTTTACCCCTGAGGTCCCTGTACTGAGGGGCTCTGGCTGGAAGAGACACGTCCAGAGGTGCTGTCCACTGTCATGAAACGCACAGCCAGCTTGGAAAGGGCAGAACAGGCTGGGCTGATGTGGACGTGGGCGTCTCTGACTCTGTAAGGACGAGTCAAGAGTCAGATTCCAAGTCAGAAAGTGAGATTCCAGAACTTGGAGGTAGAATTAGATTCCTTCTTCTTCTTAGTCACCGCCCCCCCCCACCCCCAGCATATTAGACTGATGCAGGAAAAACGGATGTGGGGCGTGTAGGGCCGTGTCCCGGGCTTCGGTTGAGTCTCTGGGGCGTGCCCCGCCAAGTGTGGGTCCTTGGCTTCATGCAGGAAAGAATTCAAGAGCAAGCCACAGTTGAGTAAAGGTAGATTTATTCAGAGAGATACATTGAAAGGCAAGAGAAGGGCCATGAGGTGTGGGGGTTGGGTGCTCAGATTAAAAGTAGGTACATAATTCATAGACAGAATGTGGGCTGTCTCTGAAGAGGGAGAGAGAGGGGCGGCCGGGAGGCGGTGTTGCCAGTTTTTATGGGCTAGGTGGCTTCATATGCTAATAAGTGGAAGGGCCAGTCTAAGTAGCCTGGGGAAGGGGCTGGGGTTCCCAGGAAGTTCGCCATCTCCCACTCTGACCTTTTGCGGCCAGCCTTGGGACTGCCACGGCACCTGTGGGCGTGTTATTCACCATGCTAATATTACAATGGGCGTATAATGAAGCTCAAGATCTGCTGAAAGTTAATCTCCCATCGTCTTGAGCCTGAAGGCCTGCTCGGGGTTGAATCTTTCACCATTTTGATGTTAATTGCTGTAGCAGTCCTTGGATAGCTGCGCCCTGCCCCCTTCCTGTCTCAATACCATCTCGCCTTATTTAGGCTTGAACTACTCCCGGGATTTCAAGAGTCCTACAGGCTGCCGCCCAAGCCCTTCTGATCCCCAAAACCACCCTGTGTGACAGGGGTGGGTACCAATGTCCTCAGATGAGAAAACTGAGGTGCAGAGGAGTCAGCTGACTTTCCAGAGGCCACCTGGGCTCTAAATGGTGTAGCTCACCTCCCAGACCAGAGCTCTTCCTGCCACAGAAACATGGGCTCATCGCCTGCTCAAAGCAGGTGACCAAATTACAGCCTCAGGACCCTGTTCAGGCAAGACACACTGAGCGCTCTGCAAACGGAGGGAGGACAGCAGGTCCCAGAGCGTGGGGGGCTGGGGACGGCTCACTTGTGGGTTCTGTGTCTCATCTGCTCTCCTAGTTTTCCAAAAATGAAAGGATCCCAACAACACAAATGTTGGCATGGGTCAGGCCTTACAGATCCCAGAGAACTGCCTTGTCTTCACTTCTTATTTTATTCCAAGGGGAGGTAAGGTGGTTTCAAAGCTTGAGTCATGAAGCTTGAGTTGTTAAGACACCGTTTACGCTCCCTCGGGCAGAATAAACTAGCATTGCTGTGTCTTACCTTGAGTTCTGGGTACATTCTGAGAGGGATAGGGGCAGAGTCACAGCACTGGTCTTCATGAATTGGTCAGCGGGCACAGCAATGCTAAAGGTTAAGTGACAACAGACAGACTGCTACGCAGCCTTGCCTAGTCAAGGACTGGGCAAAACACAGTAATAGAACACAATCTATTTTTATATGGTTTTTTGCAACCTCCCACTTCCTTAAATATCTTGACCTCATTCTGGCAGCCACAGCACATCTGCTGGCAGGGCAGTTTGTTAAGGCCGGTGTTGCCCTCTCCTGGAGAAACTTGGGCACAGCCAGAATCTTCCGGTCAGGGGTTTAGGAAGGGGTGAAAGCTTGGAGGTGCTCCTGGCAGCGGAGGTGTGCTTGTGTGGGTCTCAGCTCAGGCTTGTGCAGGCCTGCTCAGGGCTATTTACTGCTTCTCTGATTTTTCAGTTCTGAGAAACACCTTTTGTTTGTTTGTTTGCAGTTCAATAATTATGTTATTGTTAATCATCTCTGCTGTCAAATCTGAGGCACAACTGGTCGAACATTTCAGTAACTTCAGCCTTGCACTGATCCACTCTCCAGAGATGTGCTTGCCCCTGAAGTTTGCTGTGTGAGAATGGACACCGCCTGGGGAGGAAGAGGGACTTAGTGGGGACACTGAGTGTGTGCTGGTCCCAAAGGCAGTGCTGCAAAATGAACACTGATCCCAGCAACGCAGGCTCGTCCCAGCACGAGGGCCACATCTTCTCTCTGCTCTGCTCCGAACCCCAGATACACTGTTAGAAAACAAAGCTAAATGTAGTCACTGTTGTCACTCCGAAGCTCTCTTCTCTTATTTCTCCTTAGTATTTTTCACCATCTGACATACGGCTATACGTGTTTTTCCTGCTTATTTTTAATTGTTTCCTTTCACTATGAGGGAAGCATCACAAAGGCAGACATTTTTGTCTCCTTTGTTCATGTGGGATCCTCAGTGTTTAGAACAGGCCCGGCACTTGGCAGGTGTTAACATTTATGGAGTAAGTGAAGCTCTGGCTTTATCACCTTATATGGTTCCAGGCTCCATACTTCTCATCCCCAGAGTCTGATGGAGTGATGCTTCTGCCTCAGCTCTCCATGTGGCCTTTCTGCAGAGAGCTGAAGCCCCAGCCTGGGGACCAGGGAAGCAGGTGCTGACCCCGCCCCGGGCCGGTCTGTCTAGTCTAATCACATGGGGAGACGCTTCGAAGTGATTTCAGAAAGCAGGGAACTGGGAAGAGCCGGAGCTGCGGGCTGAGCACAGACCTGGGAGGGCCCAGCCAAGCCCGAGTGAGGCACTGACCACAACTGCTGTGCCTTACGTGTGTAAGTCCTTAGTAATCACTAACACAGCCACAACGCACTGAACACTTACCCTGCCCAGTCCTTTACTGTAAACCGCACGGCACACGGTACGGCTTTGTCTTTCATGAAATCTCTATTTTGCAAGAGACAGAGGCTCTGACTCGCTGTGCGGCGGGTGTGGGCTCCGTCTTCGCCACCGGAGAGCGGTGCGACACGACGGGAGGACGGCCTGAGCTGGCCCGGAGCTGCGGGAGGCGACACAAGCAGGAGCCCGAGGTGCCGGAGCCCAGCGCCCCGCCCGGCCTCGCCCTTCAGCTCGCGGCTTCCTCTGACCGCCACGGCATCCGGGGCGCGGCATGCTGGGGCTTGTAGTCCGAGGCCCCGTCTGGGCCGGCAGGGTGGCCGCGCCAGGAGCGGAACTACAACTCCCAGAGTGCCCCGCGCCGCCGGGCGCCGAGCGTTGGCCGGGGCTACGCGCGTAGCGAGCATGTCGGTGCTTGTGGTCCCGTGCCCGCGGCTGCGGCCCTGCCCCTAGAGACGATCCGGGGTCGGCCCTCGGGAGCCCGGGGGTCCTAGTCCTTGTCGGGGCCAAGTATCTGGGGACACGTGCTCTGCAAATCCGAGGGCGTCAGGCCGTCCCGCGACGGAGCCGCAGGCGAGCCCAGCCGCGCCGCCCTTTTCTTCTCGGGCTGCGGCCTCGGTAGGGTCGTGGGCCAGGCCGTGAGGTCCCTCCCCCCCCCCCAAGCCGCACCGGACACCCCGCAGCCCCTGGAGGGCGGCCGCTGGCGGCCACCTATGAGGAGTGACCTCGCCTCCTCTGCAGCCCCCCTCAGGGGGCTCGGGGGGCCCCTGCGGAGCAGCGAGCCGGTGAGCACCGCCCCGGCCCCGTCGGCGGCCGCACTTCTGCTGGAGGAGGCGGCCGACCTGCTGGTGGTGCACCGGGACTTCCGCGCCGCCCTGCGCACCTGCGAACGCGCCTGGCAGGGCCTGGCCCAGGAGCCCGCGGGCGCGTACGTGCTGGGCTCGGTTGGTTTCGGGTGACGGTGGGAGGGGCAACAGACCCCAGGACTTCTGCCATCCCAGATTGTTCACGGGAGCCTTGAGCCTTGCTTTCCTTAGCGGTGCCTTTCCGAGGGGCTGGGGCTCATCTTGTGTCCATTCTACCAAGGAGGAAACGGAGGCGCTGCGCAGTGAGGAGGAAGCGCTCGAGTCATATAGCGGGGCCCGGTGGGAACCCACAGCCAGTTCTTCCTCTCTGTCCCCAGAGTATAATGGCATGATGGGAAGACAGAGTTGTATTGTGAAGTTAACTTCTGTAAGAAGGTGGTGGAAATCTCCAGGTACAGCCCTCCCCCAAGTTGTCCCGTTCTGATCTTTGGCTGGTGAATGGGCATGGGCTTCAGAGCAGGAGTAATGTTCTGCTCCTGCTGAAGGATCTGATCAAAGGATCAGTACTAAGAAAATCTTGGTCCTATCTTGCTCTTTCTAATGCTGCTAGCCTGTCTAGTAGTTGAGGGCATAATTCCTCCGTGGACTGTAAAGTTGTATTAAGCCACACTAGAGAGGGGTGGGTAGAAAAGTCAAAGCTGACCCCAGAGAAGGGTGAAGAACTGGGGCGTCCTGGCTGTGTGTTTAGGGGGTTGGGCGAAGGCTTGTTGCTGTCAGTGCTGCAGGCTGTGATTCTGGGTGCTTGGACCTGCTTCAGGAGGTGGTGCTAACAGGCCAGTAGCGGCGTTCCTGTGCCTGCACTCAGGCGGAAACCATGCTCCATGCCCATTTTTTCACTGAGCAACCTCTTAGCTCCAGCTCCCTTTCCACCCACATAGTTGTGCTGCACGTTATCCTTTCCCCCTCAGGAGTCAGTGCACCTTTCCTGTTCATTAACCTGGGAACAGATGTGTGTTGGGCAGTTGCCTCTAGGTTTACAGGAACTTGTAGCTCCTGGGAAAAGGGCAATTTTCTCTTGTGCTGGGGCCCGTGAGGCCCACTTGAGTAATACTGGGGAAGATAGAGGTGATGGCTGCAGAGTTGGGAGCTGGGTAAGAACTGTCCCAGGTTAGCGATGGGAATGGAAATTCAGGGGAACCACTTCTGAACTCAAACTGGCTTTTCTGCTGACAGCTCGTTGGAGGTGAAATGCTCTCTGTGTGTTGTGGGGGTCCAGGCCCTGGCAGAAATGGATCGGTGGCGGGAAGTCCTGTCCTGGGTTCTTCAGTATTACCAGGTTCCTGAAAAGCTGCCCCCCAAAGTCCTGGAACTGTGGTAGGTCCTTAGGTCCGTACTGCTTACACACTGGGTCAGTGCAAGAGCAAGAGGGTTTTCCTGTCCTCTTCCAGAACAGTCCTCATACCTTATCTTTTCCCTTCCCTACTGTTTCCCTCCAAATCTAATTCTTTCCCCCTTTTTTTTTCACCCTGGACTTCAAAACATAACAAAGGATGAGGAAGGAGGAATTTAAGAGTGGGGTAGAGAAAAGAGGAAGGAATAGGAGACGTGAGGTGGGGTGACAGAAGTAGGATGTGTCAGCGCTGAGAGAACTCGCTACTCCGGAGAACTCCTGGTCCTTACTGTGCCAGCAACCCCGAGGGAAAGGGCCAGCAGGCACAGGGGAGGGGCCAGTAGCAGGAGTGGTTATGAGAAATGAACAGACTTGAAGCACTGACTGCCCTTTTTTTGGGGATTGGGTTATTTGGGGCTGCAGTGTTCTTTTATACAGCAAAATGCAAGAGCCTGGAGCCCTGCTCGATGCAGTCCGTGCCTGGCTCCGAAACCCTCACAATCAGGGCCTTCCAGAGTACGGAGCCTTGGTGGAACTTCACCTGCAGCGGGTGCTACTTCCTCTGGGCTGTGTGTCAGAGGCTGAAGAGCTAGTGGCAGGCTTCACAGCCTTCAGTGAAGAGCAGCGTCTGAACGCACTCCAGGCCATTAGCACCATGAGGCAACAGCAGAAACACGGACACTCTGGCTCTGAGGAGACCCCAAAGCTAAACCTGGAAGGTAGGGCATGCTCTTTCTGTGGCCTCTGTTTAGTAGAGTTGTGGGCTTTTTCTTGGACCTTGGGATCCACCATGACATTCCTGGGAACTTGGGAACAATTTTTTGTCCTAGTAACTTTCAGATCAGAATAAGAAAACTGTTGAGTTGCTTAGAAAGCCCAGCCTAGACCCTCTGAGGTTGACAGTGGAAGGTGGATGGTGCAGATCTCAGAACCTTGACTTTTGTCTCCTGGAAATCACCTTCTCCTTGGGGTCCTGTCATTAGATCTCTTGCCTCCACCATGCTGGCCTGGGTGGGATGTTACTCCTTCTCTAAATGCTGGCCCAGATACTGATGTAGCTGAGGTATGTTTGGGGACAGCCAAAGGAAGATAAACAGCTGACACGGTAACTTCATAACTTGACTTGTGAGATAGAAATGACTTGTCTTCAGCTTGAGCCCTCTACCCAGCCTCCTTTCTGCCTTCACTTTCCAGACCTGTCCGCATCTTCTTCCATAACCGATGGCCACCCCATCAGGGCCAGCCCTCCTCTGCTTATTAGAGTGCAGTTTGACAGACAGCTTCCATGGGGAAACCACTTCAGGATCCAACACTGTCCTCTGGCCAGCACCTGCAGGGGCACCTCCATGGGCTGGGTAGGGTGGGGCTGATCCTCTACTCCAGACCCTTCCCCTGGTCCCTGAATCCTTTCCACCTCCTTTCCCTTGAATGATCGAGTGATCCTCTGATCTGTACTTGGACACTTGCAAGGACAGAAAGTTCACTCTCTCCCGGAACAGCTCATTCCAGCTGTGGCCTGTTCTGCAGGGAGGTTCTTCCTGATGCTGAGTCTAAATCTTCCTCCTGGTAGTTTTTACCCACTGATCCTTGTTTCCTTCTGTTGGTAACATGTAGAATAGGCCTACTTTACCTTTTTTTTTTTTTTACATGGTAAGGCCTTTCAGTTCATTAGGAGACTGTAATCCTGTCTCCTAAGTTGTTTTTCTTTGTGTACTTAAGAGCTTGGACCTGCTGAGACAAGATTACTTCTTTGCAAACAGGTTGTTGGCTTCAGGGATGTGTGTGGCCCCCCCAGACCCTCAACCTGTCCACTTCCTGGGGAGGAGGGGGTTGGAGGGTGAGGTCAGGGGGTCCTATCAGGACTGGGATGTTTGTACCTTCTTCTATGTACCTTTTAGGGGCCCTTTGTTTTCCTGCATTCATCGGGGACTATTGCTCTGGGTAACTGTATGCATACATCTTAGGCCAAAATATAAAGAATGCTGTAAAACAGGGAGGCTGTTAATTAAAACACCAAGTATTCCAGGTTTACGCAGTTGAGTAGATGTGTCTGCCAAAGTTGTCTCATAAGGAGATGATATTCTAGTGATGTAGTCTGTCCTTAAAACTTCTTTGGAGCTTTTGGGATTTCCTTCAGAAACACTTTATGAACTACGTGAGAAAACCAGTCTTGTTACCTTTTGTTCGACTCCTATGATCAAGCTCAAAGCTCAGAGTCAGGAAGCTGGTTCTCGTACTTACCTTGAAATCACGCTCTGTCTCCCTGGCCAGGTTCCTCCTGCCACAAGTTCCTGCCTCTGCTGACCTTGCTTCGCCAGCTGTGGAACTCTGCAGTGAGCCACCTTTTCTCTCCGCCCTTCAGAAGGGGCCTCCTGGCTGCCTTGGTCCTCTGCCTCTTGGTGGTGAGGTTGGATCCGGGTGAGTGAAGACACCTGTCCCCCTCCCACCCTCCTGAGGAAGGGGCAGTTGACAGGAGCTGGGCCTTGGGGTAGAGGTTCTTGAGTCTCTTCTGTGAGGATGGGTTGGTGGACCTGAGCCTGGCCTGCCCAGCCCACCCAGGAGGAGAGACAGTCCTGGAGAAGGTCCACTCTGCCCTGTGGACCTTGCATCCTGTGTGAACTCTGAGTAGAGCCCCAGAGTTAAAAAGAAAACCTTTCTCATCATATTTTGTACAACAGTCATGGGATGGGGATATAGTTCTGGTGGTGTGCGTGCTTAGCATGCCTGAGGTTCTGGCTTCAGTCCCCAGTGCCTCCATTAAATAAATAAATAAAAACCTAATTTCCTACCCTGGAAAATAAACAAACAAACAAATGAAACAGATTGTAGGAATACATGCACCTTTTAGAGAATATAGAAAATAGAAAAAAATATAAAGGAGAACACAAATCACTTGAAATGGTTTTACTTAGTTTTTTTCTGTGGATATGGAGGCAGTTTTGCATGTCATGAGTGTTCTTTATCTCCTAGTTTTACTGAGATATAATTGACGTACACTGCTGTGTAAGTTTAAGGTGTGCAGCATAATGATTTGACTGACTGACATCATGGAATGATCGCCACATTAAGTATAGTGAACATTTATCATTTCATGTGGATAAAAAATTTTTAAAATAGAAAACAGTATTTTTCCTTGTAATGAGAACTCTTAGGATTTATTCTCTTAAC